GACTTAGAAAATAATTAATTGTTAAAAATTACATAAATGCATGCTTTATTTGATCTGATTTTATTTTATTTTATCTAAATAAATAAAATTTTGTGTAAAAATGACAATAGTGGTGTTGGTGGCCTAATGGTGAAAACTTTGAAATGTGGGTAGGAGTTGGGTTTGAATCCCCTTGTGCACACATATTTGTTGAAAGTTTTCAAAATTTGTGAACCGAATAGTTCACCAGTTTAGAAGCCAATGAGTTTGATCGGGTTTTCTGAGTTTTGACCACTTCTTATTACAAATTGGGTTAATGTCATAATTCGAACCAATTTTGTAACTGATTTTGGTTCAATCGATCAGATCAACTGATTTGGTCCGAATTTTAAAATAGTGCTTCTAAGTTTCGAATTGATGCCCCTTGGTTCTCAATTGCTACTTTTAAGCTCTTAGTTGTTGCTTCTTGACTTTGAAACCTAGATTCACTAATAGCAATGAACTTTTTTAGCAAGTCCTCCAAATTTGATTTTTTTTTTTTTCAAGTGGTTGCTTTACCACATTTTGATTATTACTCCATGAAAAATTTGGATGATTTTTCCAACTAGGATTATAAGTGTTGGACTTAGGATTATTTTGGTGCCTGTTAAAATTACCAACAAGGTTAGCATTCTCATATGATTGAGTAAAATAATTACTTACCAGACATTCAGCACTTGCATGTTCTCCTTCACACTAATCGCAAGTGACATTCTGGGCATGCATAGTAGAAACATTCAATTTATCAAATTTCCTATGGAAGGCCTCCACTTGAGCAATTAGGACTTTGAGAATGTTGACTTCATGTATTTCAGCATTTCTTTTGATGGTGTTCTTTCAGAATTCCATCAATAATCATTTGAAGCCATCTCCTCTATTATCTGATAAGCTTCCTCAGGAATTTTACTCATTAATGATCCACCTACAGCTGCATCAATCATGGTATGAGTATTTGGGAATAAACCATTGTAAAAAGTTTATACCTGTAACCATATAGGTAGACCATGAAGTGGGCATATTCTAAGTAGCTCGTTATATCTCTCTCATGCCTCATATAATGACTCCACGTCAAATTGCATAAAAGTAGTAATATCGTTACTCATTTTGGTAGTTTTAGAAGGAGGAAAGTACTTACTAAGAAATTTGCTTCTCATCTCTTCCCAAGTAGCAATTGAGTCCAAAGGTAAAGAGTAAAACCAATTCTTTGCTCTATCCCTCAAAGAGAAAGAGAAAAGTGTCAATCTTGCTGCATCTTTTGAAACTCCATTATACTTGAATGTGTCACAAATTTCTAAAAATCTAATCAGATGTTCATTTTGGATTTTCATTCGATAATCCACTAAATTGGACTGATTGTTGAATCATCTGAATGTAAGTTGGCTTGATTTTAAAGTTGTTAACTTGTATTGTTGGTTTCCTTATACATGAGGCCACACCGTCCATCGAAGGTGATCCATACTCTCTCAAGGTTATTGCAATAGCTTCTTTTGCCATCTTGTGAGGTTGATTGACAACTAAAGCTTCATTCCTTTTGTTCAAAAGGTGAAAAGTTCAATTTATCTCAAGATCCAATGGTGCAAGTTATGTGTTTTTAGAATGAGTCATGCACTAACTTGCACACCTAAAAAATATAAAATAAAAATAAAAATAAAAAATAAAAGAAAGAAGGAAAATATCAAATTACAACTAGAACTAATCTACTTTGATATTAATTAGAATTAATATAGTCCCCGGTAACGACGCTAAGAACTTGATGAGCTAAACTCACTCTAGCAAGAAAACTAGTCAGTTCAAGTAATATAATGACAAGAATAGATGTCACATCCCAAAACCAAGAGCGAAACAAACGTCGTGCACTCATGAACGGATCCCACAAATGCACAAAGCTCGAAACTTACAGAGTTCATAATTACTAATTCAGATAATTCAGATTTAGAAACTCAGGTAATATCTAGTTTTTTTTTTCTTAAATATTTACTAGTCAATATGTACAAAGATTGTCACGCCCCAGAACCCAAATTCAGGGACGTGGCAGACGCCGTGCACTCGTGAGAGGGTCCCACAAATGCACAAGGCTTGGAACTTATCCAATTCACATCTGACAATCCAATAACTTAAATCAAATATCTCAATTTATTTCTATATCCAAAATGACTTAAATCCAAGTAATTGATCTAATGACTGAAATATGTTTTGATCTCATAAATTCAAGGTAAAATCTATCTTACAAAAGCATGATTTATTTCTAAAATTTATATCAATTTCGAAATGGCTAGCCTTTTAACTCATCACTTTCCGTGGTTTCCTTGTCCTCGATTTCGCTTCCTAAAATGGTGGACAAGGAAAAACTATGAGATAAACTCAGTAAGTAAAATATGGAGTACCCTTAATTAAACTTATAGCATGCCAACAAGTGCAATCATGAAAAACGGATACAGTACGGAAATGAAATAGACGTCTCCTCTATAGGTCACGGCCAGTGTTATAAACCTCCTACTGATAGGCACACGATTTACTAGTGTATAATCCCACTAGCAGGATAACAGAAATGAACCAGTTCTATCAGTAACATGTCGACATGTACTAGCATTTATAAACCTCCCACTAGCGGGCACACAAATAATATGACCATTTTGGAGACAAAACAGACAGAATTTAACAGAAAATCATATTTCACCAATCACTTTCAGATCATTGGGACAATCAATTAAATCTCAAGTAGGCATGCTCACTTTAAAAAGCATAAAAATTGCACTTCAAATCAGTCATACTTACTTTTACATAAAACGGGTTTAGTCCCACCACCACTTCAAAAACAAATCAAAACATTCTTTTAAAAACTGTACGAGCATTACCATAAATTTACTTACCTCACTCACATAAAACCGAAAACTCAATCTCAATGTTAAACTAACAGAACGATCACGAACCTAATCAAAATACCTAAGAATTAATTACCGTACCACCACAAATTCAAACTAAAAACTTCATTAGGATCACCCATAATCCTGATGCTATTTCTATCAGTATCCACATTTGTTCTTATATCATAAACTAAAAGTTTAATCCCCGTTAATTGTTGGCCATTAGTGCGTGAACAGTGCCGGTAAACAGTACTCGTGAACAGTATCTGTGAACAGTACCCATGAACAGTACTACACTTCCAAAAATTGGCCAAAACACTAGCTAATTTCACGGGATTTTCTCTCCAAAAATCACAACAGTCAATTAACACTCAATCACATAAATCCCACTTGAATTAATGCTTAATTTTGTCCTAAAGCTACCGGAATTCATCCCCAATTTTCAGCCAAATTCGGACATCACAAGGCAGCAATAATTCATGGACAACCTCAGCAGCTAATGGATAATTTTAGGCTTAAAGTGGCTGTCACATACCAGAATTCCAGCAAGCAAACCGGAGCTGGTAGGGAGAAGAAGCCGGCGGGATCTGCAGGGGGAATTCACGCAATCTACCAAAAATTGGGAGAACCAAGAGCAATTAAGGTAAACCCAAGGCAATTCAAGTAAGAAAAGGGGAATTTCGAGCTATTTCTTACCAAAAAAACCGAGCAATTCGCCCCCACAAAGTAGGAGCAGCCGGCGGTGAGGAGGAGGAGCAGAGCAGATCTGGAAATTCTGCAGAGGGGAGGGGATTTCTAAGCTCCTAAATCTTGTGATTGAACAAGAAAGAATGAGGAATTTCAAGCTTTCTACCGGTTTCTCAAAGGCTGGTGCCGGGTTCCCTTTTCTTTCTTCTTTCGGGTGAGCTGCAACGGGGAGAAGAAGAGAAGAGCAGAATCGGGCTGAGAAGAAAGAGGAAAAGGAGAAAAGAAATAAGCCATCCTTGTCCAAATTTTAACTCTTTTAAGTCCCTCAACTTTCAAAATTTTGGTTATTAAGTCCAGAATAATATTTTTCCACAATTTAGTCCCTAACTCACTTATTTATTCTAGAAATTTTTGGGGTATCACAAAGATTTATAACTTCATCTATACAGTCATGACTATAACTAAGGGAGTTCTGTACACAAAAATTTTCTAAGTCAGCATGGGTGATTAGCGGCCTAGCTACAAAACTTAAGTCCAAAATAATGCCTAGCCGTCTAGCTCGTCACTCATTCGGGCTCCCCATGCATCGGGTCTCACTACCTGAAATGGTGGACAAGGAAAACTATGAGATAAAATATCTCAATAAGTAAATATGGATGCCTGAGATCAAAATTTAAATCATGCCAAATAAATAGTCTAAACATAAGTAGAGCGTTTCAATAACAAACCATTAATGCAGAATAAAATTAAGTAGTGGTCTCCTCTATTAGTCATGACCAATGTTATAAACCTCCCACTGGTAGGCACACGATTACTAGTGTATAATCCCACTAGCAGGATAACACGAGCGAATCGGTTCTATCAGTAACATGTCGACATGTGCTAGCGTTTATAAACCTCCCACTAGCGGGCACACGAAAAACATGACCATATCGGAGACAAAACCAAGCAAGATTTACAGAAAAGTCCATGATTCACAATCGCTCTCAATTTCAAAAATAAACTGAAAGAATTTCATATGGGCATGCTCAATTCTAGAAAATAAGAAAATAATAAAAGTTCAATTTCCATTTTAATCATGCTCCACTACAAACAAAATGCCTTTTACAAACGGAAGTTTATACTAACGGACATGAATCCGTTTGTATAAAACCATCTATACCAACGGAAAATTTAAGTAGTTAGTATACACAGATCTATACCAATGGAAAAATTATCCGTTAGTATAGGATATATTTATACAAACGGATTCTAATTATCCGTTTGTACCGAGTATGTCAATTCTAACGGATAACCATTATCCATCTGTGTATTTGTGACTATACAGACGGATTAACGCTGTCTGTGTAATTATTTATTTCTTAAACATAATTTTTTTTCTTTTCAATTTTAGCCATCTGTATACATTTTCCCATCCCCCCACATCTTCCCCAATTTTCCCTCCCCAAATTCTGAGTTTCCCTCCTCTGGTAGACCTAATTATTTCCGTCCCTCTCCCAAATCTCCAAATTTTGGAGTTGATTTTGCTAAAACTCAAAAACCCATTCGAACCTAATTGCCAAATTCATTTCCTCAACTATAATCCATCAACGACAAGAGGTCAATAGGTGAGTTTGTGTTGATTTTGGGTGATTTCTTCCTAATCCTCTTCGTTTCTTCTCTCTGCCAAAGGTGTTGCTAACGTGGACTGGAACATTCTCGATGATGCGGCGGAGTTTGACCTCTAGGTCATCCTCTTCCTCCTTTAACACTGGCTTCTCATACTCCACAATCGCCGTCGATCCCACCGTAGGAGGACGCGGTGTAAGTCCCGATTTCTATTCCACCAACGCTAACTGCATGTTCGCATCCTTCGGTCTGCCTGTCAACATTTTGTCTCAAAACCCTAACAAAACTGAGACTTTATGGTTTTTAGGAAGATAATTGAACTCATGTTTGAGTTTGACTGACAATTTGTAGGGTTTTGCATAATCAAGGGATTTGGGGTTGGAGAATAAGTGCTATAGGGGAGAGAGGTTGCTGCTCTAGATCTGCTTGAAACCCATTTCTCCCTTTTTCTACCACTATTTCCATCTGTCATCTCTTGATTTCATTGTTTCCTCAGGTATTCCCCTTTCTCCCGTCTTCTTCACTCTTCCTTTCTCCCATTAAAAATTTTTCTGAAGATTTGATCATATTTTTGTTTGCTGCTTTTGCTGATCTTTTTTTTTTTTTTTTCATTTTAGCTGATTATTTATGTTTTATTTGTCGATTTAGATATTCAGGTATTTGATGAGAAAAGTATAAATATAAATCTTGTTTTTAGATAATTCTTAAATAAAAAATTGATAATTAATATTTGTAAATTGATAAGACATGTGCTTTGGAAATTCATATTCTGCTGCTACGCTATTTGTTTCCCTTTTGATATCTGTATGTTACTGGAGTTCTATGTTTTTAATAAGGTAATAAATACTAATAAGATAAGAGGCCTTTAATGTCCATGGTGGTGAAGTTCCTAGAGGGCAAAATGGATGATGTAAACGACTGTGATTTCTCAAATCCACAAGGACCTACTAAAGTGGAAAACTCTCAGACACCAAATGGATGCAGCTGCAGTTATGACTTCTCCACTAATTCCATCTATCTTATCTGGTCCAAGGTGATGATATGGGGGAAGAGAAGACATAAAACACGTGCTGCAATGGTAATACTTCATTTCTTTTACTTTCTAGCTTCTGTTTTCTGTTTCAAAGCAGACAGTGGAATGCAAATTACTACTAGAATTCTTAGCGTGTGTTATAATATCCTTGAATTCTTTGACTTATTTCTTATATCTAACTGTCCAATTAACTTATTTTCCTTCTGACAGAATGTATTTGATGGTAATATTTTATATTTCAAAGTTTCTTGCAATGCCAAAATGAATTAGTTTTAACTGAAAATTTGTCTTTCACTTGTTTAATAAAACATTCTCATCACATTTTTTTATCTTACTCTTTTCAGTGTTTACTCGATCAAACTTCATTTCTTCCTTCCAAATGCTAAATAATTGAGAAAGACTTGACCACCCAATTAACAAATCCAGGAGTAGAGACTAACGCTGAAAGAGAAACCAATGGATAAGTTAATTTCTTTCCTTGTGTGTGTGGTTTTTTTTTTTTTGTTTTTTTTTTGGTTTTTGGTCCATTACAAATTTGTCATTTTACATTGAACAGAAAACTGTTGCAGCACTTCTGTTTTAATTTCTGTATGTAATGTAATACTATTAACTACTTCAACTTCAAACTGGTGTTGCATGTCTATTAATATCTAATCCTGCCAATTTATAATGCTTGTTGTTTGATTGTTATCTCCTTAGTGTGTTAATTATATTTAGGATTAATTCCACATATCTCAGTGTTGAATATAATTTGTGTTTGAGTTTGATTATCTAATGTATGGTAATCTTTGTTCAAAAAAAAAAAAAATTGCTTGGTTAATCTGTGCTACTGTTGCATTTTCATCTTGTACCGCAAAGTTTGTTATTGTAGAAGATCTAAGTGTACGCTCTCTATATGGTAGTTCTAATAAATTTAATAGGTAGATGGAAATCATTATACTTCTTTTTCTATGTGAAACTTTATCTTTATCATCCTGTCTACATCTGATAATGAATATCTTTCATTTTGATTTTGTAAAGGACTGAGATAGACAAGATTTTTGAAATATGTATGATGCATTAGTTAATA